AAGTGTGATAGACTAGTTTAGAGGCTGACTCGTGTAAGGTAAGAATAGTCCGATGCCTTAGCGTCTGGCATTTTAATGTGCCTTGGTCTTGGATTCTATGATATATTTTGCTGTCTGGTTTCATGCCAAGCATTGATTAATAAGCGTCATCAGAAAACTCACCAATTCAGCTCTGAAGAACAACTTCAGGTCTATCCAGAAGAGCCAACCTTTGTCAGCAGGAAACAGAAGAGAAATGGTACACATCCATTGAAAACTAATGTCCCCTGACTTGAAATAGCACTTATGCTGATGACACTCTCACTTCATCGTGAACAGAGGATTGGCCTGTGCTACCAGCTAGAGGAGGAAAACAAATGATTGGAATAAGAAAGATGACGTTGTCAGTACTCTGTCAGCAAGGCGTTTTGCTTTTTGATAAAAGGCCAAAAATGGCATTGATTTATGTTTTCATTGTAAGCTGAGTCTCATAAATGAGCAAAACTATGTAGGATGCTAACAGGCCACCAATTTGGGAAGAAGGGTAAAGAAAGTAAGATCCTCTTGCCTAGACCTTTTATTTTTCTCTCCAGCTGCCCCTCCATTTGTCCTAAAGCAGATGGATGTGACCCTAGGCCTGCAGTTCCCATAGGGGCTGAAAGCCAGTTCCCATAGGATCTGTGTTCTGATGGAGTGAGCTCTTCACCTTTCAAAATCTGAGATCTGGGAGAGTTGGGGGAAGATGTGAGGATGTAGTAAAGTGAACCAACAAGGAAGCTTTGGCAGAGAGCAGCTAGCAGCTCATCACACCCATCTCTCTTTACTCTGGACGCAGGGATAGACTACATTTCCCAACCTCCATTGGAGTTAGACTGCATTGACTCAGCTCTGGTCAGTGGAAGTGAGCAGAATTGATGTGCATCGCTTCCAGGCATGATGCATAAAGTCCTAGCACATAACCCTCATTTCTCTTTCTTCTCTTACTAGCCAGCTGGATGTCAATATCTATCTCTTGGAAACCAACGGTTAAATATGTCAGAATCGAATCTGTTCAGTAGAGATCCTTGAATGGCTAAATAGAATAGAAGCCCATCCTCACTCACGCCTGTCACCAATTGGAATTCACGTGGGCCAGAAATAAGCTTCTGTTGTAGAAAGCCATTGAGCCTCAGGGGTCTCTCTGTTACAACAGCTACCATAAAGCTATCTAAAATAATAGCCTAGAATTTCAAAACAGCAAGTAGGAAAAACAGTTCTAAGAAAGGAGAAGGTCTGGTTGCTCAAGCATGAGAAATCCATTTCCATGTATTGCTTTGATTGTGTATGGCCAACTGAAAATGATAAAAGTCAAAGATTCCTATCTACTGTAATATAAATTCAAGATGAAATGAAGCTACCTTGATCCATTTTAAAATGTCTGTAGAAAATGGAATGTACGCTTATAGCTTTTAGAACACATTTTATGTCATTTTCTATGATTAATGTGTTAGAGGATTTTAGTGTTTTCACTTTGAGATTGTTAAAATGTTTCTTTTGATAAACTAGGAAGCTGCATCAGAAATTATTTCTTTGAACTTAAATATGGATAGAACATTGTAACATTCAATCCTTATAGTTTCTTTTGCCAATAATAATTGAGCTACAGTCCTGAAAGTTAAATTTATGATTATTATCTTTTACTAATATTTTAATACAAAATTATAAACAAATACAGATTAATGCTCTGGAAAGACAGAGACTTTGTTTACTGTTTTCTGAATATTTTAGTACTCTGCTGGAACCAAGTTAGTATGAGTAGGAAAGTTATAGAGAAAATTTTGAAAAAATACAAATACAAGATTCAGCATTTTGTTCATACACGTCCTTTGAATACAGACATTTATCATACAAACATCTCCATCCAGGTCCTACTTTATCTACTGTGGTACTTAATGTTTAGTGTTTTGTTTTTTGTTTTTTGTTTTTTCCTATTTCTGTCTCTTTGGGATTTTCCATATTTGAAGATCATGAGTAAAAATAGGACTCTTGACTTAGAGTTATATCTGTAGTTTCCCTTAATACCAACATTAAAATTTCCTCATTATCATTCATCAACATCCTCATTTATATACAATTTAAAACCTTGAGAAATGTTCTTCTTTCCTTTATTTAATTCATTTAAATTTTAAAATGCAATTTACTTATTTCCTATGCAGATTTTCAAACCAGGAAGAAATGTAACTAGCTTTCTGCTCTGTCTTACATTTGTCCTCAATTATAAGTTGGGAAATTGACATTTTGCTTTAAATATTAGATTATCCTTATTTAAGTACCTGTGAGCCTATTCCAAAGAGTGACCATTGGGCCCACTGACCAAATCTATTTTTTTAAATCTGCACTGGCGCCAGACCAGCATTTTGGTGACATTCCAAGGCACTGTCACCCTGTGAGACTCTGCCTGGCTGAAAACTCTAACTCTTGCCTGCAGTCTGCAGTGTACATTTATGTCACTTACAGAGATCATCAGTGCAACTCTGACCTAAGTTCATCAGGAGGTTTCCAGTCCATTGTACTTGAGCCCCCATAGAGCTACATGTGTTTTTACATTTTTCCTTTTTTTCCTTTTGCTAGGAGAAGCATATCATAGAATTAAATCAAAGAAGGATGATCTTAGACTGGAATGTCCTCTAGAGTCCTGCTCAAATAGGAAAATTTGCATTTGTTTTCAAATCCATTGTTTTCTTCTGTATGTGTGACTTTGGAGGGCTTCTGAGCTACCTAATTCAGGAACCTTCACAAATCTTCCTGGGAGATTCACAAGGAACGTTCATGAAGGAAAAATCAGACAGACTCTTTTCTGATGAATTGGAGAATGTGACTTTTCCTCTCAGTTTTCCTGGAAGCATCTAAATAGTCTCCACATCTCTTCTTTTGCAGCTTTTTCTCAGTGCATATTGGTAATCACTAAATATTTTCTATGAAGATTAATCCACATACATACTTCTTATTAATGCCTTTCCCAAAATAAAGCAGGACTTTCAGAATTGACCTAAATGACAAAGCAGTCAAAATCAGGATAGGATTTATTTTCTTATTTTAAGTTCCAGGGAATATGTGCAGGCTGTGTAGGTTTGTTACATAGGTAAATGTGTGCCATGGTGGTTTTCTGCACTTTCAACCCATCACCTAGGTATTAAGCCCAGTATGCATTAGCTATTTTTCCTGATGCTCTCCCTCTCCCTGCCCCGCCCCTGCCCCAACAGGCCCCAGTATGTGTTGTTCCCCTCCTTGTGTCCATGCGTTCTTATTATTCAGCTCCCAGTTGTAAGTGAGAACGTGTAGTGTTTGGTTTTATGTTCCTGTGTTAGTTTGCTGAGGATAATGGCTTCCATCTCCATCCATGTCCCTGCAAAGGGCATGACCTCATTCAAAAGGGTGTTTTTTATTAGATGCTTATTAACTTTGAGGCAATTGTTTATGTAGGCAATTAAACAAATTAAAATTTTATTAATATTAATAATATAGTGCAATATAATCAGGAATCACACCACCTGATAATTAAGCCCAATTTCACATTTGGAGAGAAAAGAAAATTTGTGTGGTACATTTGTCAGATATTCAAAGGGTTTCAACATCCTCTGCTCTTGTTCTTTAGATTCCCCTGAAGCACTTTCACTCTGGCTTCCTTCTGAATTCCGCTTCTGTTGTTGAAATATTGGTTTCACTACTGTCATTGCTGTCAGCTCCTTGGGGTGTTTATGTATTTCCCTGGACCTCAGAGCCATTGAATATGTATTTGTTATATTTACTTGAAAAGTCCAAAAACAATTTGCCCATTAAATTTGCAGAAGACTCGGAAGGGCTAGGAGGAGTAGTCCTTAATTATTAGTAGTAGTAGCTAATAAGTTGAATGTCATAGTCAGAATTATAAAAGTCCTCAAGAGATGAAAACCTTGTAAAAATATAAAATACCAACACCTGAATTCAAAAATACAGAAATCAAATTTAAGGACAGAATAGATGTGTTTAATAGCATATTACACATAGCTGAAGAGAGAACTAGTGAACTGGAAGACAGCTCAAAAGAAAGCATCAAAAACGAAGCACAGAAAACAACCAACAGAAAATGCAGATGAGGCTGAGAAACCACGATATGTTGAGATAAACAAATACTTACTACTGTGTTACCGTTGCCTACAGTATTCAGTACAGAAACACGCTGTCCAGGTTTTCAGCCTGGGAGCAATAGGTTATACCGCATAGCCTAGGTGTGTAGTAGGCTCCACTATCTCAGTTTGTGTAAGTACCCTCTACAGTGTTCACACAGCACCGAAATCGCCTAATGGCACATTTCTCAGAATGTGTCCCTGTCGTTAAGCAACACATGACTATATTTCAAAATAAGTTTGCAATTTTAGCTAATGAAATTCTGATGAGGCTAATTATTGTTATAAATTATTAGAAATCCAGGTGACTTCTAATATTGTACTTATTAATGAAATTGGTTCATCCTCACTATAGCATTAGAAATTTTGCATTTGAAAAACATTTCGTTTAAAAATTTCAAACTCCAAAAAAAAAAAAAAAAAAAAGGAAAAATAAATAAGAGACAAAAAAGGAGATTACCATGTGAAGACGAAAGCAAAAACAAAAAAAAAAAAAAAAAAACAAAGGAAAAATAAATAAAAATTTCAAACTCCATAAAGAATATTGTGCATTCTGTTGGTATCTCAGAATCTGGAGATTATAGCAGATAATAATTATAAGCTTGTTGGAGAATTGGGCTGTTATCTTGGAAAAGAAATGTAAAGACTCTTCACGGAGTATTCAAAAGTAAAATCGTAGGTTTGCTCTTCAGAATCAGATTGCTTTTTGAAAAAAGAAAAACCAACAAACATCCAGCTGCTTTAATTCAAAAACTAATGTTTGTCTCTGACGTTGAATTCCACAGTGCCAACCATTTGAAGTGTAGAGGGCTTTGACATCTATAGAAGGAAAAGCCAAGAATATCTTCCCTGTTAACTTGTACTCTTGTGTTACAGGCACAAAAAAAGTCCCTCTGGACAATTGAACCCAGTGAAGGCATGGTTCCTCCAGAAACTGATGTTCAACTGGCACTGACTGCCAACCTGAATGACATACTGACATTCAAAGACTGTGTCATTTTGGACATAGAAAATAGCAGTACCTATCGGATTCCTGTTCAGGCTTCCGGAATTGGTTCCACTATTGTTTCAGATAAGCCCTTTGCTCCAGAACTCAATCTGGGGGCACATTTTAGGTAAGGAAATCTCATGCACCAATTTTTATAGATAATCACGTATGCTGCATATGCTGAGCATCACCTCTACTTTAGAAATCATTTTAAGTAATTAAAATGAGCCTCCTCAGTCCCTCTCCTCTCCTGTCCTCTCTCTTCCACCTCCTGATGGGTACATCGGCAACAAGAAGACATACTCTCGTCATAGCTTGGTTGCATTCTCTACTCTATGTCCCTCTACATGCGAGAAGAAGACAGTTTGTAGGAAATGCATTCTTCTCTCAAACTGGCTACTCTGTGATTAATTTAGACTCTCAACCATAATTTCTCCTCTTTGATTCCAATACACTGCTAATCCCTCTCCACAAATGTAGAAAATACAGATACAGCTTAGTGGTAACCTAAGTAGAGCATACCGAGGAAGGTGAATATTTATTGCAATTGTATCTTATCAGGTATTGCAGAGCCAGCAGCTTTTTCAAAGGTTATGTCCTCTACTCGACTCCCCGCCATAGCACCAACAACTGAGATGGTTTCCATTGGCTTCGCCTGATGACCCAGGAAAATCTAAAGGGTCTAAATATGTAGATAAGATGTGGTACAGTATAGACACCTCTGAGCAGAACAATCTAAATGTGGATATAAAAATGAAGTTTGGGCTAGGCACGGTGGCTCACACCTATAATCCTAGCACTTTGGGAGGCCAAGGCGAGAGGATCACTTGAGCTGAGGAATTCAAGACCAGCCTGGACAACATGGTGAAACCCCATCTATAAAAAAATATAAAAAATTCTGAGCTTGGTGGCAGGTACCTGTAGTCTCAGCTACTCAGGAGGCTGAGGTAGGAGGATCACTTGAACCCAGGAGGCAGAGGTTACAGTGAACCAAGGTCGCACCACTGCACTCCAGCCTGGATGACAGAGTGAGACCCCGTCTTAAAACACACACACACACACACACACACACACACACACACACACACGAACACAGGGCTTGGGCCAGGATTAGTGGCTCATGCCTGTGATCCCAGCACTTTACTTTGGGAGACTGAGATGGGAGGATTGCTTGAGGCTAGGAATTGGAGACCAGCCTGGGCAACAGAGGGAGACCTGCATCTCCACAAAATAAAAAAAATTAGCCTCACATGATGACACATGCTTGTTGTCCTACCTACTTGGGGGGCTGAGGTGAGAGGATTGTTTGTACCTGGGACGTTGAGGGTATAGTGAACCAGGATCACACCACTGCAACTCCAGCATGGGCAACAAAGCAAGACCCCATCCTGAATTAAATAAATAAATATATACATGAGGTTTGAGTGCTAAGTGTAGAGGGTATGTGCAGGGAATTATTCTTGATTCCTCAGGAGAGTCATGTAGCTATCCCTAGTTGGCTCCTGGGGCCAGGTAAATTTGAACTTGTTTGTTGCAGTACTATGAACAGATCCCAGAAGGGTACTCCCCCTACCTTCTGGGCTCACAGGCCCTGAAATCAAGTCATATATGCTGTGCTTGGAGAAGATGTGACTGACAATAATCAGTTAGGAGCCCTCCTGAAAATCCTTCCCTCTGTTCCATCTACAAAATATAGGACTTGATTGAAAATACCATACACTAGTAGAAAATTAAGCAAAAAGCAAGTCACATGGTTGAACTCCATGCTTTTAGGCAAGTATCCAATTATATTTTTCAAGTCAACTAAATATAAGCATCTTCCTCTCTGCCTGTCTATTGGCCATAAGCTAGGGTAGTTTGTGATTGCATACCAGTGCTTCTAGTTTCAAATTGCTTGTCGTGCACGCAAATATAATTGCAGAAAACAATACATGCCAAACCACTCCTCATTACATGTTATTTTAAATCTACAAATGTCAAGTGCCTTCGAAGGAAATTCTGACACTTACATGGAATTGGAGGGTTAGCTAACAGTTTTCTATGAATATAAAACCAAACTGTAGCCTTTAGTTGCTAATTTGCCCTCTGCCTAAACTTTTTGACATAAAATCATGATCCCCGCAATCTCCAGAACTGCCAAAAGCAGGGCTGGGTAAACTATACCCCTTTGCCTGCTTTTGTAAATAAAGTTTTATTGGAACATAGCCGTGCCCATTTTTTAACATATTGCCCACAGCTGCTTTCATACTGCAAGGAAAATTGAGTAGCTGTTAGGAGACCATGTAGCCCAAAAAACCTAAAATGTTTGTTATTTAGCCCTTTAAAGAAAAAGTTTGCCAACCTCTGGTCTAAAGAAATACCCATACCTATATGCCACCCCTTCTAATTGATTTTTTTTTTTTTTGAGACAGGGTTTCGCTCTTGTTGCCCAGGCTGGAGTGCAGTGGCATGATCTCAGCTCACCACAATCTCTGCCTCCCCGGTTCAAGTGATCCCCCGCCTCAGCCTCTCAAGGAGCTGGAATTATAGGCATGCACCACCATACCTGGTTAATTTTTTGTATTTTTTGTAGAGATGGGATTTCTCCATGTTGGTTCAGGGTGGTCTCAAACTCCTGACCTCAGGTGATCCACCCGCCTCGGCCTCTCAAAGTGCTGGGATTACAGGCATGAGCCACTGCACCGGGCTCTAATTGCATATTTTTAGGCAACTCCCTTAGGTTTTCAGAGCTCCCGTTTCTTGATCTATAAAATGGTAGTAAATCCTTGCCGTAATGATTGAAAGATATACTGTGAATAAGTAACAGACATCCTGCCTAGTCTTTATAAACAGTATGTGTTTTTTATAAACAGTATATGGTTTGTATAAACAGTATATGTTGTTTATTATTTTCCCTAAAAGCCTACTGTTAGCCATAAACTGCCAAGTAAAGAAGCTCTCTTGAGCATGTCCTGTGGACACATATTCACAACACATTTAGATAGAAATGGTTATACCTGTCAACTAGCAAATATTCCTTCTGATTCTTTATTTGATGGTTCAGCTTACCAGGCATGATGTCATTTCCTAAGGAGGAACAGATGGGATGAAATCTCAAAGCCTAGTAAAATTTAAAAAAATAAAAAACAGTCCTGAGATGAGTTTTTCCCTAAGAAAATATTTTAAAGTAAGCCTGTGAGAAAAAAAAAGCCCAAACAAACAAAAACACATTTGAACCATATCCAATATCTTAGAAATCCCAGTTTTTTTAGCAAATAGCCAGGCAGTCAGGTTGTTCTTAATAAATATTTGTGGAATATGTGAATGAATGAGGAACAAGTGAATAAATGAAATTGCAACATCTTTAAAGCACATTACTGTGAGGTAGGTGACCAATCTTGGTGGCGTTCTGGCCCATCGCAGTCCCCCTGGTCTTTGTTAAAGCTTAGAGAATATGCATTGTTTTTCTTCAAAGTTTACTCCAAATTGAGCCCATCATCACAGGACGTTCCACTCAGCCAGGAATCATTTACTCAGCACAGCTTGAAACCTGCTTCTCCTCCAGCAGATATTCTGCTTTCCTTTCACTCCTCGGAGCTATTTCTCTAACTGGGATTGCTTTTCACGTGAACTGTGTGTGTCCTGCAGTGTGTGGAGCCTGCTGGGGAGGACTGAGCGGGAGTGGGGATTTTCCACAGCCCCTTACCTGGTGATGCCAACTCTGGGACCAAACCCAGGTCTGTGATTCCACAGCTGTTGTCCCCTTAAGTAGATACTACCTTGTCCCATCACTGGTTAGTTCCTAGTGGCATCATGACTTAGTCTTCCTATGTTAAAAAAAAAAAAGTCTTACTTTGTTGCTCACTTTTTTAAGTACTTACAGAGGAGTAAATCCCAAGGGTGTAGAGCTGAACAGAACATCCCTAAACTGAATCCTCTTAATACCTGCCTCTTCTTTTCCAGCCTGGATACCCATTATTACCGCTTCAAGTTGATCAACAAGGGACGTCGGGTCCAACAGTTGTTCTGGATGAATGATAGCTTCCATCCCCAGGCCAAGCTGAGTAAGAAGGGACAGGTTAAGAAGGGACATGCTCATGGCCGGCCTCAGCCCAGTGGCTTTCAGGAGCCCAGGGATCCACAGAGCCCCGTGTTTCAGCTCCACCCCACCAGGATGGAGCTGTACCCAGACCAGACAATCGATGTGATACTTGAAGGCTATTCTGCTACTCCCAGGGTAAGGGAACAGCACATTTGGAAGCTATTGTTTTTTTCCTGAATAAATCTCTACGATATCTATTTCTTAGGAACATCCCTTGACATTTATCCGAGGAAGGATATGGTTTCTCAAGGATTGCGCGTAGCCCTGAGTTACCATGGTAGCATCCATTGCTTTCAGGGTACAGCTCTGCTCAGTCTTCGGTTTGTTTCTATAGCTACTGTGAACCCAATCTTAAAGCAGGTTATCATACGCAGGATCAGCAGCGACCAGCCAGCAAGTCTGTGGTAGAAAAACATCCAGTTTTCAGCCAAAGCAAATTCTCCTATTAACATGTAGCAGGATTAATTTAATATTCATTCAAAAAGGGTGTTTATACAGATACTCTGAGCTGCCTCTCCTATTCAGGTATTGGGACACCCTGTTCCTTTCCTCCCAGCCTGACTACAACCCCGGTTTCAAAACATTGTCTGTTTATGCATTAATTAAGGAGTCACATTTATCTTCAACAACTCTGATTCCTTGCCTTTGTTTACATGATCTCCATACATTCTACGTAAAATATTTCAGTAAATCCAAATCATGTGTCTGTTTATCCCTATTCTCTTGCAGATGTGGAAATCATTAAAAAACTAAAGGAAAGGCTTTTAAAGTCACTTAAGAGTTTCTCCCTCCCCACAAAATGCAGACCTTGTAGATGAGAAAGGATGAATGCTTAAGATCCTGCTTGTGTTGCCAAATTTGGAGGTGATACTGACTTTTCCTCACATAAAATGGGAAGCAGTAAGACCTTTGTCTCCCAGTAGACACAGCTGGAAAGCTAGTCCATTGCTTGCTTCTCTAAGGTCACAGATTCAATTTATTTCATTAGGTTATTTCTTCATAGAGTATTTTCAGGTAAAACACATGCTCAGTCCAAAAAAAGGGGGGTTATCTCTCATTATCGAAAAGGTAATGTGTTCCTTCTGTCTGTTACTCAGACAGTATTGTGTGTAGACCATGTGACAAATACTGTGCTAGGCACTGAGGATACAAAGATGAATAGAACACAGCCCCTTATCTGAAGACACTGACAGCCTGTTGGAAGAGCATAATTCTAATGTGGTTATCAAGAGTTGGCCGTATTTTTAAAGGCTTTAAATCTGAGCTGTTGGGGGAGTAAACTCAGCTTAAGCTTTACTAAAAGCTTCCTTGAATGTTCTTCTAAATCATGCTACATAATTGAGGAGAGATTGGAATGCATTCACATCCCTAACCTGAGCACTCTTCAGTATATCCTCCTGATGCTGCAAATTCACTTTTGAGTCTTTCTGCTTTATGAAAATCCAGGCTTTTTGAGTCCAAGGAAATATTAATTTCTAATGCATTATCTTTAGATGTTTAAGTATAAAAGGCAAAAATTTGGTCGGGCATGGTGGCTGATGCCTATAATCCCAGCACTCTGAGGGACAAAGGCAGGCGGATCACCTAAAGTTGGGAGTTCAAGACCAGCCTGACCAATATGGAGAAACCCCGTCTCTACTAAAAGCACAAAATTAGCCAGGTTGGTGGCGTGGGCCTGTAATCCCAGCTACTTGGGAGGCTGAGGCAGGAGAATTGCTTAAACCCAGGAGGCAGAGGTTATAATGAGCTGAGATCATACCATTGCACTTCAGCCTGGGCAACAAGAGCAAAACTCCATCTCAAAAAAAAAAAGAAAGTCAAAAGTTTTTCAATTACAGTTTGCAATAGTTTAATAAAAAATCATGTAACTACCATTGAACTATAAGCCCCATGAAATATTTTATCTGTGTTGTTCATCACTGTTTTGTACTCCCAGCACCCAACACAGCTCCTGATGTATAATAGACCATAATAAAACTATATATATAGAACTGAATGTAAATCAACTGCCCCAGGGCAGTCAGAAATAAATACAGAATCCATCGAAGTCATGTTTAACTAACAATAACATAATCATGTGACAAAGAGCAGTCCCCGAAACGTGCTATTCAGAAAAATGTGCTCTTCCTTGTGTCCCTGGGCAGGAAGTTGGGAATCAGTTTTCTCTCAGTGGGTAAATAAGTATTCTGATTAAGTATTAAGTTATAGTTCTTCCCAAAATGCTGGCTTATCTCATTGGCAGATAGTTAAAGAGAAGCTGGTGTGCCACGCCATCATCGGGACGCAGAAGGGGAAGAGCTTGTTGATGACTGTGAGCATCACCTGCGAGTTCATTGCGCCTCTCATCCAGCTCTCCACCAAACAGCTCATCTACCGACTGGAGAAGGTCAGTGGGGTGTGCTAGCGAGGGCTGGGTACTCCGACTGGGGTCAGCATTTTTACATTGCCATTTTGAAAGCTAAATGAACAGGCATCATTTTCCACCCATTACTCAGCCCATGTTTTTTAAGCTTCAGAGACCAGTACACATTCAACTAAAAAATCTGAATCTAAACCTACAATCATTTGACATGTAAGTTGCTGTGGAAATTCTATTTGTATCATTCCTGATGTCTAAGACTTAAGGGAAGTGGTATTCCAGTGCACTGAGTATGCATTTTAGTCATGTTACTTTAATCAGGTAAAATAAACTCAAGGCAAAGAAAGGATTGGAGTATTATCAATAATCATAATAATCAGTAAGAATAGCTACCACTTATTGATTAGCATATGCTAGACATGGAGCCACGTTCTTTATATACATTTTCCCAAGAGTCCCTCACAGCAATTGTATGCAGCAGGTTCTGTTATCATTCCCATGATTGTGCAAGGATTGTGCGTAGCCCTGAGTTACCATGGTAGCATCCATTGCTTTCGGGGTACAGCTCTGCTCAGTCTTCGGTTTGTTTCTATAGCTACTGTGAACCCAATCTTAAAGCAGGTTATCATACGCAGGATCAGCAGCGACCAGCCAGCAAGTCTGTGGTAGAAAAACATGCAGTTTTTAGCCAAAGCAAATTCTCCTATTAACATGTAGCAGGATTAATTTAATATTCATTCAAAAAGGGTGTTTATACAGATGCTCTGGGCTGTATCTCACACGAAGACACTGAGATACAGGTTAAGCTGGAGAATAATCAACTTCAAGTATTAGATTCCCACTCTTTAACTTAAATGACTCTACATAAGGGCAGAAAGTAAATGTCAGAGTTAGGGGACAAGGGAGGGAAGGTGAGGGCAGGGGGTCAGGATAGTGAAGTGGTAGGGTGGAGGAGCTATCACAGTAGGTTTGACCTACTCCTAGGCAGGTTTCCATGCAGAATCAGTGACCATTCAAGACATGTAAGGAATGTCCGTTCTGAGTTGGGGATTGAGCTGGTACTGAAAATCTGGAGAACCAGATAGAACCAAAGCTAAAAGACTGGTTCAGGTTATAGACTGTAAACAAATTATTCAAATATAATTGTTTAAGTCACTGTTATAAACAGTGCTATGAAGAAGAGGTGCAAGGTGCTGGGAGGGCATGTGTCTGGAGATATGGCCTTGCCTGTCCATGTGGTCATGGATGGCCTTCTTGAGCAAGTGCCTCAAGTGGAGACTCGAAGTAGAAATAGAAGCTAGTCTGGTGACAAGGGACGAGGAGAGAATTGTAGGCAGAGGGAATAGCTCATGCAAAGGGCTCGGGTTAGGAAAGGCCACCTTGGACAGAGAATGTGCCAAGGATGGCAAAAGTTCCATCTGGGGACGTGCAGCCTGCCTCGGAGGCATTATCTGAACTTTGGGTTTTGTTCTCGATGGCCATTGGAGGGCTTCCAGGAAGGGAGTGACATGGTCAGATTGATTCACTGAAACCATCATGCTGGCCGCTGAGTAGAATGTTTGTTAAGGCCTATCACGTGCTAGGCACAATGTTGGGGGCTAGAGATACAACAGTGAGAAGAGTCCTCCCTGATAAACTTCACAGCCTTCTGGGAAGACCAAGCATTAAGGAAGTCACTGTCCCACAGTGTGATCTGTGCTGTCCCACAAAAGCACTGGGTGTGGTGGTGCCTAACCAGTCATGGGGAATCAACTGGGGTGCCTTTCATTACCTGGAGGTTTGCAGAAGAATGTTCAAGACCATTTATTTTGGTAGTGGATTCCATCATATTTTGTTCATTAAAACAAATTAGTATCTATTGAGTATCACACCATGGGGAAGATGTTCTGCTAGGAGATGAAGAAAGGAGCTTGTGGTCTAGTAGGAGAGGCAAGAGGCACAAGTTCAGTTCAAATCATCAAGTAACTTTTGAGCAGGTTTATCAGACACCTACAATATATAAGGCAGAAAAGATACAGCAAAGACCATGGCTTATCATTCTCAGCAAACTGACACAGGAACAGAAAACCAAACATCACATGTTCTCACTCATAAGCAGGAGTTGAACAGTGAGAACACATGGACACAGGGAGGGGAACATCACACATCAGGGCCTATTGGAAGGTGAGGAGCTAGGGAGGGATAACATTACGACACATACCTAATGCATGTGGGGATTAAAACCTAGATGACAGTTTGACAGGTGCAGCAAACCACCATGGCACAGGTATACCTATGTAACAAACCTGTACCTCTACACATGTATCCCAGGACTTAAAATAAAATAAACTTAAATTAAATTAAATTTTAAAAGACCATGGCTTAACAGCTGAGTAGGGAAGGTAGACGTTGTTAGTTTAACTTCCTGTCACTCAAACCCAAGCTGAACATGAAGTCAACAAGCTCCATGAGACACGTAAAAGGAAAATACTACAAGAGGTCCTGCTACAGTTATTACCCTTTATTGCTCCATTTTAAATTCTTCATTTTTAAGTAATCAGGAAAGATATTTACTGGCAACAGCTGCACTGAAGTTGGTGGCATCGTATTTTCTCTGAATGTCGCCACTGGGAGAAAACTCAGTGAATATTGATTGAATAGCTATTCTGGGCAAGACGTTGTAATATATGTTAAATATGCAGCTTGGTTTCTTATTACATTTTTCTAAGCCCATAAACTCTCATAAAAATGTGTGGGGAGTACTCTTTTTCTTCTCTTTATATCCTTTTGCCTTTGGGCAGAGTGGGGGAACATGTTTTTGTTTAAATGTCTATTATTTGAGTTTATTACTAGATTAAAATATGGAAACATTTTGAATATGGCAGTAACTTCTTATTGAATTAAAAAGTGAATTGAGCTACAATTCCCTCCTTATTTTTTTCCACCCTTCTCTCCTTCCCCACAAAGATGGGAAGTTTGAAGTCTGTCCTATTGCTATATTTTTCATTTTTATTTCCTGCTCACATTTAGTCCGTGTCAGGGACGATGAAGAAACGCAACTTCATTACCCAGCATGCAAGAGACTTGTTAGGTCTCAGTATTCAGATTTAATTGTGTAACATCCAATTATCAGTTCTGTCTCCTTGTTTTCAGCTCAAGGCAGTGCATCTAATTTGGTACATTAGAATATAATAATATAGACCCTGTCTATGGGAAGAATTTTTCTATAACTGCTTCCTCAGATCTGATCTCCTTTATAACTATCGTACCATTCATAAGCAACGGAGATGAAACCACATCTCTGTGGGATTGAAAAGGTCAATTGAAACTAGCAGCCACTTTTCTTCATGAAGTTCCAGCAGCAAATTCTGTCTGCTGATATTTGGGGAGACGAACAACTCAAAGAGAATGGGTCATTTTAAAATAGAATGGCTTCTCTGTGCTCCACTCCTTCTCATCAGTAGCCTCTAAATGGCCTCTTGACAAAACCAACCAAGTGTGGCTGCTGCGCTTTAAAGCCATCTGCAGTGACACAGCAGCCTTCAGGGAAGGTCACTGGGTGGACAGTTCTCCATGCAGCCTTAGTAGGCCCCAAAGTGCTGCTTCATCCCTCCCTAAACTATAGTATAAAACCCGCAAAGGCAAGGTGAGTCCAGTTCTGTGCTGCCCCATACTAGAGGGAGGGAAACAAAGGTTGGCATCTCATGGTAAATGCCAGACCTGACCCCTAAAGTCACCTTGGGAGTGCACAGGGGGACTAATGGGGTATGACCAAGGCATGAGGCTCAAGGGACACTGGTCACCCAAGCTCATCCAGGAACCACAGTGGAAGGAATTTTGTGCTAGGCACAGAACTGGAAGACAGAGTCAGATCCAAATACGAAAATAGGAGGGCGTAACTGAAATTGACATAAAGAGAAAATGCGAATGAAAACAAGGAGGCCTAGGAAAGACAGGCTAGCCTTGTCAGAAGACCCAAGGGGATGATTGGAGGGAGGTTCTTTTTGGAGGCCGTCGATTGAGGCTCATGGTCACTCTCTTCTGATATTAAAGAACGCCCTTTCTAGGGAATAGTGTGGGCCCCAACATCAGAATGAGAAAAATCCAGCCTGGCCAGAAACTTCCAACTTAAGATTCATTTCTGTTGCCCTTTCTAGTTGAAAAATCTGATGTATCTAACAGAGTAAAAAGATGCTTCTAAAAATCAACTATCCTGGTATTAACAGGAAATGTTTACAGGAAGTAGGTGTAAGCATTTGTCAGTATAACAAGATATTTGCAAGTCAGGTATTTTGAGCATGGAAAAATATTATACAAGGGAAAAATGTTTTATTCATTATAATGATAGCTATATTTATGCATAAGATATAACTAATTTTTTAGACTTTGTCTTGTGACACTGTGGAAACCCCTATAATAATAGTTCCATCCAGAAGCATGACTTGTGTAGGTTTTTTTCAACTAAGCACCAAGGGGGTAAAAAATCTAATCTGTGTTGTCTGGGTTATGTAGGTCCATTTTTCAGTAGTCCACCACACATCATTCCACATGATTTATCTTTTTTTTTTTTTTCTTGAGACTGAGTCTCACTCTATCACCCAGGCTGGAGTGCAGTGGTATAATCTCAGCTCACTGCAACCTCCAGCTCCCGAGTTCAAGCAATCCTTGTGCCTCAGCCTCCAGAGTAGCTGGGATTACAGGTACCCACCACCATGCCTGGCTAATTTTTGTATTTTTAGTAGACACAGGGCTTCACCATGTTGGCCAGGTTGATCTCGAACTCCTGACCTCAGCTGATCCACCATCCTCAGCCTCCCACAGCTCTGGGATTACAGGTATGAGCCACCACGCCTGGCCTCCACGTGATTTATCTAAACTTCTACAAGGGGGAAAAATGTTTGTATACATCTACTTATATACACACACACACACACACACACACACAGAAAAAGAGAAAGATCACTAAATTTGTTCTAAACAGTGAACCTGAGACTGAGACTGTTCCTTAAAGATTACTGTATTTACCATAACTTGATTTGTTTCCTCTTTTTCTGTTTTTGCAGAAACCTAACACTATCCTGAAATCTGATTACCAGCCCTTGGCCATAAAGAACATTTCCACCCTGCCCGTAAACTTGTTGCTGTCAACATCTGGACCCTTCTTTATATGTGAGACTGATAAATCCCTGCTGCCGGCAACTCCTGAGGTACCTTAACAGGGGGCTGTTCTAGCAAGCTGTCGGGGGTGGGGCAGGGTGTGATAAAGGAAGAAAAAAGTAATGATACACCACCCAACTTCAGCTCAGAAAGATGTAAAGGATCCAGGAAGCAAACAGGGAAGACTACAGAAAATTTAAAATGAGTGGTAAATCAATTCCACTACCAATCTGTAGAACATTACCATTTGCGGTGAGAACTTCAGCTCAATAAATTCACCCTTCACTCCTGCCCCTTCTAATGCAGCCGATCCACAGATAGCAGTGACTTCCTACTGATGATAGTAAAAGATCTTTTCATTCTCCTCCCTCAAGTCCAACCAAACCTCCATGCTCAAGGAAATGAGGAAATAGCCAAGTCCAGTCCCCAGACCAGTGAGCCCACTTCTGATTACGGAGAAGTCTGAGTGGGGCTAAGGGAGGAGATTATGGGCTCGTCCTGGCCACTAGTCTGTAACAGGATGCAGTGTTCTCTAAACAACCTTCCAAGACTGTCCCTATGATCCTCTGCACGGTGTGAGGACACCATTGGGAATGGCAGGTCCATGGGCCAGTGACACTCTAGGAGAGGAGGACTGAGAGAGAAAATAGTGCCATGTGCCATTTTGCTCAGCCTCCCTCTCTTTTCTTTCTTTTCTTTTCTTTTTTCTTTTTCTTTTCTTTTTTTCTTTTTTTTTTTTTTTTT